TGATTACGGAGGCGCCCCAGGGTGGTCGGAACTTCCAATCTGTGGGTGCAACCATTCACAGCACTTTTACTTCTTTGTTAAAACACAATGGCAGACACCGAGGCATTCAATTAGTTGTGTTAATGTAGTCTGATTTCTCTCCATGCTGGACAGAAGGGCAACCATTAGTCTCTGATGTCTTAAGCACTAGAACTAGCGGAGAATTAAGAGGCAGCTACATTAATTTAAGTTCTCCTGGGGTGTCGACACCTCCAAACCCCGCAAACTCCAATCACTCAGTTTACAATCATTACAAACACAAGCTCCTTCTACTACCATTGTTCTCGTAAACAAAAACACCTGGGAAGTGGCCATAAATGCGGGTCTATTTAGCAAAGGTTTACATATCACATACTTAAGAAAAATGCTCTCTCATACTCTAGTCTCGCTGTGTATTCTCCCACCACCTCCTCCATTTTTTTTTTTTGTCATCCAAGTGACTTTTAAGAAAGAAAGAAAGGGTTTCAGGTTTTATAGTCTCAAGCGGGTACACGGTATTTCTGGAAAGCGTGCTGGGGTTCACAGCTGGCGTGAAACGCTGGAACAGGAGGTACATACACACACACACACACACACACACACACACACACACACACACACACGAGGGTGACACGCACGCACGGAACTGGGGAATCCAGGGACCAAGAGGCCCAGAGAGCTTGCCGCCCAAGCAGGGTGTGGACGGGTTCTCAGGGGGCCATGCAGGCCCCTGTGCGCCCCGCAAGAGGGCGGTCCTCCCCTCACAGCACACACCTGAGCAAGACCAGAGTAAAAGAGACTGGCAGCGGCCCTGAGGGGGTGCCAGGAAGAGGGGTGCCAGGAGACATTCAGGGCTGTGCTCGCTGCCCTTATTCTATCCCATCCCCCTGCTGGGGAGGCCTGGTTGAGGGAATTGACTGACCTCAAGGGCTGGGATAGGCCCACCTGTGCGATGTCTTGGTCCTTAGGTGGAAGCTAGGGTTGAGGTTTCACCTGAGCGAGGGGCTTAGTTTGCACATGCCCAGTTCTGGGTTCCCCATAGGTGTCCAACGGCTGCCTGCTTTTCTTCCAACCCCAATTTCCGGCCCTACCAAGCGATTTCAGCTAGTGCAGGCATTTGGGGGAGACAACCCCACTTTGTCCGTAATCTAGCGAGTTAATATTCCATACTGAAGGCGTATGGACCAAATCTTTGGGGGTTCTGGCAACGACCATCTCTGGCTGCTTCAGGGCTGTTACTGGACATGACGTGGGGCTTGTGTGGGTCCACACCCTGCCTCCTCTATTGGCAGGGGTTGTCCACTTAGGGGACCACGGCACCTCCTCCTCCTTTTAATGCCATTGATGTATTGGGGGGAAATCAAGAAGCATGCCTGTAGAGTTCCCAGCAGTGTGCATTTGGCTGATGGCTTCCTCTAGTGCTTCCTCGCATTTCACTTCTTGATCCCAGCGTTTCCTGGCTGTCTGCTTTGATTGACTTCAAGTTCAAGGCGCTTGCCCCCTTTTTTCAAGAACACTTGATGGGTGGAGTTGTACGTTTCTTGTTCATCACATTAGAATAAGGTGACCAGATGTCCGCTTTTGGCGGGACACAGCTAATTTTTAACAATTTGTCCCGTCCCAGAGCGTTTTAAAAAAGTCCCAATTTTTGGAAAGAATGCACGACAAGCTTGGGAACGGCGGGAGAATGGGAAGGGAATAGATGATTTTCGGCTGCCCTGTGGCTATTTCTCTAGGATATGAGTTTTATATTATTTTTGTTAATTTTATAATGTTAAACTTTAATAACAATTAATTGTTGAGAACTGATTATTGAGAACTGCTTATCAAAGTTCGCATTGTTGATCAGTTGCTAGAATTCGACCACCATTGTATGAACAATGGCATTTTTTGGCATTGGCAACGACGAAAACATTTTGTAACTGTCTCTCAGATGATACACATCGTACTGCGTGCTAGTGCTAGTTAAACAAGTGATGTCAACAAATCAGCTATTCAGATAATTTAGGTAAGTTATTTATTTCATAAATACATAAATTTTCTTGAATTCAGCAGACAGTACTCGTATTATTTATATTTTATAGTGGCGGCAAAAAGTCGAGCTCCGGCCTTGAAAGTGACACGACTTAGGTTACGGCAAATTCAGAGAAAAAAATAATACAAGTTAGAATTGTTATTATTTAGAAAGGAATATAGGATTAAAATTAAAATAATGTTTTAAGTATGGTTACTTTATAACAATCAAATTAATTTAATTTATAAACTGACAATAAAATATGTTCATGTAATTATATACCTACTTACTGTGCTTTTATATAATATGAATATAATAAATTAGAAAAATCACAATTAAGTGTTGAACTTTGAAAGCCATTTTATGGGTGAAATATAATTTAACAAATTCTTGTGAAAATTTTCATGACCTTTTAAACGACAGCAATCTACTAAAAAAATTCACTCAAATATGCCAAAGAATAAAATAATACTATACATAATTTTTAATGTATTATATTTGTAAATTGTACTTATGTTGAAATTTTAAAAAATATATTACAATACTATTTTTGCATTCTATGAAAATTTTTGTTGCTCCATGTAGACCACATTTTTAATCAACATCCCCCCTCCCACAGGTCAATGGTGTCCCGCTTTACCAATGTTAAAATCTGGTCACCTTACATTAGAAAGAAAATAATGTCTGTTACCACATTTTTGTTGAGGTTAAAATTACCAATGATTTAAGAATCCTCTCTGGTAAGGCACCCTTCAACCTTGCACCCAATGGCTTTAGCATCAACTGAAGATCATTAGCATACTTTCATTATAAATATTTTCTAACATTTAAATGCATATGTTAGTTGGGGTTCTTTTGTGAATAATTCTAATACAGTGATTAGTTCATTTATGGTACCATTATCAAAGACTAAAGCAAAGAGTATGGGACAAATATCGTCCTTTCTGCAGTTTATTCATCAGCTTTTTCAAAACAATGATATCATTCCCCAAGAACTTCCAAATATGATGAATAATTGTGTGTATGTATGCCTATATATAATTATGAAATCGTAAATGTTTAAGTATTTGATAGTTTTATTATTATTATAATTATCATCATTAGTAGTAGTATTTGAGGCTCCTGTTGTCTCTGTTTAGGTCAACAGGCAACCTTTAGCATTCCTGTCTTATGATTTCTTTGCTTTTTTTAAAACATGGTGTATTGGTTTTTTTATAGGTTCTTTGGGAAATTGGGAGCTAAAAACAGTGAGAACAAGAATTAAGAAAACGTTCTAAAATTCCTGTGGTGAGGACTGCCAAACTCTTTTTAATTTTTTCAAACCATTGAATTCTTCATTATGCGACCTATATGTTAATAAGACTGTTACAATGATTTTGAAATATCTGAAAATAATTACAGTCTATGTATAGTTATGCCACTATTTAAATTTCATTTAGGGACAGCTGGTTTGACTTGATTTTAAATTCTAAAGGAATACTTTTTACTCTTTTATTTGGTTTTTTAACTAACTAGAATATGTACATGACTAAATAAAAAAAATTATGACATGCCAATTCATAGAATTTCATTTTCATACCAGTTCATACTTGTTCCCTTATCTCTTCCAAGAAGCAACTATTTTGAATTTCCTCCTATCGCCTGTGATGCTTATGTAAAAACATGTGTGTGTTTATTCATATTGCACAAGACTGTCCTTTATAATGAAGTCTTGAAATCAAGTTACCTCCATACAAAGGAAATTTACTATTCCCTCATAATTTATTCGATCAACCCCCAATTAATTAGCATCTAGGTTGTTTCAAGTTTTCAGCTATTCCAAATAACGCATCAATAAATGCCCTCACGCATACAAACTTTTGTATTTTTGTCACAATAACTTTGGAAAGGATTCTTCAAAGAGAGATTGGTGGAGTCAAAGGAGAATCCTTTGACAAAGAACGTACTTTTACACGTGTCAATTCAGCCAAGAAATTGTAGTATTTAAGAAATACAGAGAATAGAAAACAAAGTTTTGCACTGCAATAAAACACTTATGCAGAACAATTTGTTAGTTGGATTTAATTCATGGAAAAAATTAACAACCTTTGTGGTCTCTAATCCACTAGGTCTTAGAAAACAACAGGAAAAATTAAAAGTCATCTGTAAATCTGATATACCAATGTATGCACGTGGGAGGAAAGTATTTATGAGTTTAGTTTTAATACAGCCAAGAAAGTTACAATATTGCATAAATAAATCCCTTTACTCTTCTCAGCACAGTCCGGCCCAATAAAAATGAGTTTATAGCATTTAATACTTAAATAATAGACTTGAAGTATTTTTCTAAAGTGCTGGTAATTCTAAAACTTTTCTACGTGAGCCCCACTATGATCCAATTTTTAAATGAAAAGTGAAATGTATATTTTCCACTTCCTTTTGTGTCTACACATCTTATAAGCACATGCTTATATTGTTATTTCGGTTGATATTATCTTCTGAAATTAGGAATATTTGCAACATAGTGTTTATATGCTGGACTGCTAACCCCAGGTTCAGGATTTGAAACCACCAGTTGCTCCACTGGGCAAAACCAAGGTTTTCCACTCCTGTAAAGACTTCCAGTCTTGCTAACCCATAGGCGTTGTTTAACCCTGCCCAATAGGATTACCATGAGTCAGAATCCATCTGATGGTGGGGAGTTTGACTTTTTTTTTTTTTTGAGCCCCAAGGACTGGTAATTCAACATATTTATTTTTCGATTTAAAGAACTAAAAGAATTCAATCTTACTAAAAATAAACAGTTGAAGAGTAAACTAAAACTGATTCACATTTAAGTAGTGGTGATGTACAAAAATATACAAATATAAAATAACTCATATCAATAAAAATTGATGAACACATCACATCTGATTTGTTTCTTTAATTTACCATATACTTTTTTCAGACATCACCATTAATGTTATAAACATTCACAAAATGACATTCAGGAATAATAGTTAAAATTGTGTATTCTGAGTTCTCAGGTTTCTATTTACAGAGAAAGCCCTTTGGGACTTCTTCCTTTCCTTCGTCAAGGCTAAAGACAAAGACAAAATCAAAATCAAAACTTTATGTCTCCAATATACAGGGTACAATACATCCCCACTTTTTGTATACTTACAACTTAATCTCATCACATTTTAAGGATTATAAAGTCAAATACACTTTTTATAAACTTAGCTAATAACATTGTACTTTTAAAACACAAAGTTAGAGCAATATATATTCGTAGTTATCGAAGGATCTTTATAAAGTTCATAGAAACAATAGAATTAAAAGATAATAGAATTTTCCTGCAATTTTTTGAAAATCTTATGTAATAAGTACCTTACACTCATTGCCATTCAGTCTGTCTCAACTCATAGCCACTCTATAGAACAGAGTAGAACTCCTCCTTAGGTTTTCCAAGGTTCTAAATCTTTAAGAAAACCATGCTATGTCAATTTTCTCCCCTGGAGTACATGGTGGGTTCACATGTCAGCACAATGCATAAACCAGCACTTCACCAGGGATCCTTTATATGTAGTTACTCATATACTTGTGTGCACGAGGGTACATTAAAGAGATTATGGAATTAAAATTCATTTTCCATGAATTGTTGGAAATTCACACACACACACACACATAGGCCTTCTGACAAAACTAATCAATACTAAAGTTCTATTTATTTACAAGTACTCTAGAAATATCAGGACAATACTAGTGAACTGAATAAATAAAATATAACCTCATCTATGATCTTTTTATGATCTAGTGATTTCGAAAGATCTAGTTATTTTAAAATGAAATAAGAAAAAAACCCACTACCTCTTTTGCAAATTCTTTTGCAATCCTCTGTTAACAAAGTTATTGCCATTTCCTCCACAGCCAGGATAGGGGAAAGGCACACAAGCTTTCTGTCTTGGATTAGCATAGTAGTGAGTCACATCGACAGAACACAGTCCCTCACCTTTTGGACTGTAACATAATGATGGGCCTTATGAAATAGGAAGTTAAAATGATAAATGCTTGAATATTAGAATTAGTAAAATGTGATTATTATTAAAGCGAGTCAAGAAAAATGAATCTCAAGGAAACTTCTTTGCGAAGCCAAAAAATATCAAACTACATCATTTTAGGAAGTGTGTTCAAATTGAATGGATGTGCTATACTTTAGTAATTCTAAATTTTCATAAACCAGAAGGCGTTTTCTGAAGTTCTATCTTTGCATAATTTTGAATAAACAGATATTCGACCATAGCTCACTGCCACTGAGTCCATCCTGGCTCATTGCAACCCCACAAGACAAGGTAGAACCACGCCTGCGTGTGTCTGTGACCGCAGGAGTGGAAAGCGACTGGTGGTTTCAGGTTGCTCACCTTGGGTTTCGCAGCTGAATGTGTAACCATTACACCACCGAGCTCAAGACTCAGCCATAGAGGTGAAGTAAAAATAGACTAAAACTCAAGAGATAGTATGTGACATGATTTTGTCAACATGCTGTGTTAGCAATTTTATGTTACATATTTTAGTCACCACCTCTTCCATTATGAGCAAAACAAAAACCCAACCAGTTCCCACTCATGGCATCCGCTATGTGAAGAGAAGAACTGGCCCATGGAGTGGTCTGACGGTGACTTTTCCACGACTAACCCGAATCTCTACCACTTACATCCTGCAAGGACTTCTGCTCAGTAGCGCATTCCCGTCCAGTTGACTCAGAGTGAGACGGTAGTGTTTCTTGAAGCGCATCGCTACAGCTTTTTCTCAAACTCTCACTGCCATTGAGCATTGCTGACTCACACTGACTCTCGAAAATAAGCTCGACATGCCCTGTGATTTCCAAAACTCTAACAATGTACAAGAGAAGAATATTTCCTCTTTCTCCTGGAAATTTCAAACTGCTGTCCTTGTGTGCAGTCATTGTATCTTTTGCCTATCCATAAAAACCCATCACCTCTGGTGGGACAGCTAATAAGCCCATTGAGTGGATTTGAACACACAGAGCCCTATAGTACAGAGTAGAACTGCCCCATAGGGCCTCAAAAGCTGTAAGTCTTTTCGAAAGCAGACTGCCTCATCTTTCTCCCACAGAGCAGCTGGTGGGTACATTTAGTGTCAAGTGCTTTAACCACAGAGCCACCCCAACTAACCATTGGTAACTTTTCAGCGATACAAACAATAAAGAAAGCACCAGCAGTAATCACTGTCACTCCATTAATCCAAGATTTTTCAGAGTCAATAAAATATACCTAGATTCTCCGCCAGACTCTCCCTTTGTTGTTATTTTTAAAAAACTTTTGTGTAGTTACCTATGTCCCTGCTGTGTATGTTGAAAAATGCCTGCCTTGTCTCCAAAAACATTAACTACTGTCCCAGTAATCCACTGTTCCAAGAACTGCAATGGGAAAGAACGAGTAGGTAGGGAATGTGGAGAAAGAAAAGACGGCTATAGATCTGCTTGTGCAGCAAAGACTATAGGATCCAACTAAAGGCGTGGGCAAGCAATGACTCAGCTTTCACCATCTCACCTGTATATTCTCCACTGGCTCATATTTATCACTGCTTTCCTACAAATCTGAGGTTATGGTATCCATTAGTAAACACTATTTTTTAATAGTGCCTCTGTGCTTTGAAAATAACTTTATGAGGAGATTGAATAATTGAGAAACACTTCTAAAGATACAGTGGAGAAGAGGGAGGCAGGAAAAGTTTGAATCATGACTTGGTCACTCTCCAGCCCTAAGGACCCGACAAGGCATTCAGTTCTCCCAGCTGCTCTCCTCCCATGTAAATACAGGGATGCTAATACTTTCTCACAGGGCAGTGAAGTGAAGATTAATCAGGAGCCCTGGCGGTATAGTGGTTACACAATGGATGTTGAGGCGCAAGGTCGGCAGTTCCAAACCACCAGCAGCTCCATGAAAGAAAGACAGAGTTTCCAACTCCCATAAATGGTTAGTCATGGAAACCCACAGGGGTTTGCTATGAGTCAGCTATGACTCGATGGCAGGGAGTTTGTAGGGTAAGCGAAGAACGCACCCAAATTCAAACTATGCTAACTTCTCATCAAATTACTGACTTTTCACCCCAAAGTCTCAATAAAGAAATTTCATACAAACACCATGAAGCTCATGCTTACTTCTCCTTGATACGCAGAGTCTCATACATGCAGCTTTGTCTGGGAAGCTGTTCTCATTGCCGAGGCAGTTACCAGACTTGACTTGTTCACATGTCATGGATTTGAGGTTGAAATAATATTGCTTTGTGGCATTTTTACATGGTTTCTCACTGACTTCCAGCAGGCAATTTGGGGGAACTTCTAGGAAAAAGAGGGCAATAAAACAATGTTAGTCAAAACAGCCTTCTAACTCTCAAAGATGTCTTTTCAGAAACACCTGGGGGGAAACAAATCATATTTAGTAGTAGTGTAAGAAACCCCCAAACACCAAAAACCAAGCCGGCCGACATTGGGTACTCTCCACCTCATATTGACTCCGCATCGGATTTCCCAGGCTGAGCCTTCAAGCGCACAGATGGCCCCGTCTGTCTCTCAAGGAGTGGCTGGTGTGTCTAGCAGTTGAACACCTAACTCACTGTCCCTCTGGGACTCCTGAAACACCCAAATCTAAGAGTGCATATCCAGAGCTGGCTCCGCTGTGATAGATAGTTCAAGTCTAAGTAGAAAAACCTTTCTCTCGGTGTCCTTTGTTTTTGCATAGGATGTTAACCAAAGGATATTCATAAAAACACACAGTTTCCCCTGGCTCAGTTACTTTAAAGTCCCAAGTTCTGCTCCTTGTCTTAACTCATATAAAAAAATAGAATATAATTATAAAAGAAAACAAGCAAAATAAGTATCCCGGGATTTTCCATTGTATATCTCTACTCAAGACATGTTTGGTTTCAGGGCAAAGAAAACCTTTTATGTTTATAATGAACTAGATGCAAGTTTAATAATAAACCCCACCAAGAAGTATTTCAGACTGATAGCTGGTACGTACTAAGAAATAATGTTCTTGAGGGAGACTAAAACCCTCAGCTATCGAACACAAGATACGACAGAAGAGCATTTCTCTTGCACCCCCAGTAATTGCCTTGGGTGTTTGAGTCCCCATCAACGTGAAGAAACAAGTCTTTTCCTGAGTTGCTCACGGGAAGTTGAATTGAGTCAGGCAAAAAGTTGCCAGCAGAGAGGATCAGTGTCCGTGCCTATAAAGCTGTCCTTACTTTGGGGCAACTCAATGTCACGGAGACTTACTTAGAAAATTTGAGTTAAAAGTTACTTAGAGAAAATGGGATTTGCAGAGTTCACTAGTCCTCCTGCAAGTTTCCGGTGAGAGGGGAGGCGGGCACTTACTCTCTATCCACCCGCAGGCTTGTTTACAGTCCTCCTCCAGTATGAAATTGTTGGCATTGCCATGGCAGCCCCCGTACCAGAACTGCTGGCAGCTCTGGGTCGTCTTGTCATAGTAGTAACTGGGGAGGCGGGCTCGACAGGGCCCTTCCTCTGGGGGCAGGAAGCACACCTCCAGGCTGTTGCCTACAAAAAAAGTAAGCAGAGAGGAAAAGCCAGGGGAAAGGGTCAGGCACATTTGCAGGGAAGGAGAGAGGAACTTCTCTTGGGGGAGTGGAGTTGGGGGGGAGGGGGGCAACCGCCTCCAAGAGACCCAGTGGAAACTTCCCAGTGGTTCTGAGCGCGCGCCATGGAGCCTGAGGAAAGAGCCCAAGGGGACCCCGGGGCGCAGTGGGTTCACCAGGGTGCTTGGGGCAAGCTGGCCCACAGGGTCTTTTTCGCTGCAGGAGCAAAAGGAGGCTCTTGGCTGAGTTCTGTACCGTCTGGCAGCGTGGCAAAACCTCCCAGTGCAGTCCCCAGCAGAGACACAATCAGCAGCCCCAAGGGGCACGCAGGATTCATTGCGCTGACGTGCGATGCGCCCTTGGGGTGAGGTCCTGAGAATGCTCCCTTGGTAGCAGGGTGCTAGGTGTCCAGCCCGAGGCAGCCTGGGTGCTGGTGCGGTGAGTGCCCTATTTATGCGGGAAGAGTGTGTTTCCGAACCGGCACGGGGCGGAGCTTGTTTGCACCGAGCCCAAGGCCTAGGGCTGATTCAGGCCTCCCTACTTCCTTGGTGATGGAAAGTGTGTGTGCAGGCATGAAGAATTCACGAACCATGTTCAACTGTCTCCCAAACTTTCTGTTGCGATGAGGCAGAAAGGTCACATGGTGTGCTTGTGGCAGTGATGCGAAATCCTCCTGAAGCTAAGGGACCTGACCTGCTGCGGGTGATGGCACAAACTTCCCACTTGGCAGGTCGCCTTCAAAGCCTTCATCCACTTCTTGCAAGTCAAAAGCAGCCTTTAAGAACTGAAAGTGTGGACATCCTGGGCTCATGATCCTTCAGGGTATGATAGTGCTATATTAAATAAAATCAAACTCACTACCAGGGAGTCTGTGTCGACTGGCAGGAACTCTACAAAAGTCTGAACTATATTATAATTGTGTGTGTGTGTGTGTGTGTGTGTGTGTGTGTGTGTGTGGTCCTCTATTCAACAGATCAAGTGAATGAGTAGACTAAATATTTCTTGCTTTTCGGGGAACACCAATGAGACTTTACTGGAATCTTCCTAGTTTCTGCAAAGTCCTGAGAAGCACAGGACTCAAAGAAGTTTAATATTCGGAGGTATTTTTCATCCCATACCCCCTATTATCCTGACCTTTGTCACAGAATCACAGTCCCGGGAAGACGGTCCGGAGATGCTCAGAGCCATTTATACTGCGGGCTTCCGTGACCAGAGCTGGCAGTTACAAATGGCAGCTGAGAGTGTGACTACAAACAGCTCTCCCAAAGGAAAGAATAGCAAGTCAAATCCTGCTTTGTGTAGCCGGCTGGTTTCTTTGGTGCAAATACTTCCAGTAAGCTGCTCTAGAATGTCATCGCAGAGACAGTCAACCCGTTTAGAAAGGTCACATTCATAGAAAAATCATAATAGTAGGGAAATCTTGGGAAACAGAACTGGGTAGGAGATTGGGTGGCAGAGCTGGGGAAACAATGTTCCAAGTAAAATAGATTGTGTTGTGCAACTATTCTTAAGATGATTCAACTATTGAATTGTATAATATGTGAATTATATTAAATTTATATTATATATAAAACTTGAAAAGAAAAAAATATCGCTCCAAAATATTGTAGTTGCTTTTGTTAGGTACCATGCAGGGGCTATGACTCAGCAAGTCTATGTAAACCAGAACAAAACACTGCCTGGTAGTGCATCATCCTCGCAATTGTGGTTATGTTTCAACTCAAAGATGAAGTCACTGAAAATACTTTAAACTCAAAAACAACAAACTCACTCACCCCCGTCGAGTGGGTTTCAACACATAAAGACCCTATAAGACAGAAAAGAACTGTCCTTGTGGATTTCTGAGACTAACTTTTTATGGGAGGAGAAAGTGTCATCTGTCTCCAGTGGAGCAACTGGTGGTTTTGATCCACTGACCTTGTAGCTGGCAGCCCAACTCATGACCCACTGTTCTACGGGGCTCCTAAAAAAGAAAGAAAAGATTTGTAAGAGAGGGAAATTTTACCATTTATCAAGATCATATTTTGTTGAAAAGTTAAATTCAAACTTACTCGTTTTTCTATGATTCAATATAGTTCTAAGTTGAACTAAAATAAAGTTCAAAACTCATGCTAATTTTCAGTTGACATGCAATATTGACAGAGTATTGCTGCATTTATTCATTGTACTCAGACCTGGCTCGTTACTTTTTTTCTTTTTAATTATTCTTTGCATCGTATATAAAGAGAAAACTTGAATCAGGGCAGGTATTTGGGGAAACTAAAGGGCAAAGCTTCAAAGCTCAGCAGCTTCCTCCTCCAACGTGGGGAGCCACATCCTCCTTCGTTTGTTGTCTGTTCTTAGCCTGGAAGGTACATTGAAGCTTGCTTGTTCACTTTGAATGACCCTGTTTGTGGGATGTAGAAATATTTTTTTCCAGGGTCTCCCCCAAATATATGCCAAACCCAAGACGCTGCATGCTACGCATGGTAAATGACTGTACACTAGGAGGTCCATGAAAGTAGGTCAGAGGTTATTCTCCTGAAGGGTATCAACCAGTCTGACTAATCCCAAGGAGGGCCCACTCCCTTCTGATACTGTTCCCTGGAAGGAGAGCCCAAAGGCAAGCCCAGGACCACTCAAGGATGACTAAGTTTAGGTTACTATATTGAGTCTAGGATCTGCCCATCTTGCCACATGTGCACCCCTATTCCTCTCTTTACTATTGTGTGTACACCCCTATCTCATCCCCCTCCTATTGCTTGTATTGCCTATGTTACAACCCCTTTCTATGGCATAGGTCATTATCTGGAATCAGGGGGCTTGCATGCCCCCAAAGATATATAAGCTTCGGTTAGAAATAAAACTTCACGAGAGCTCTCTCCTGCCCTCTCATTTTGCACCTCCACATGTACCATCAAGAGGAGCTGAGGTGAGCATGCTACCATGAAATGTGTCTGACTTCTTTATGTTACTCTCTCTCTCCCATCTCTCTCATTTCTCTTTGACTTTACGATAATTTTTATATAACTTAACCATATGATTGTGCCTACCGAACCCGCAATTAGTTGTGGGGGGCTGGCTGCCCCAACACCTGTTGGCATTTAAAATACCAGTGACATAGCTTCCACCATCACAACAACACATAAACTGCCACAGTAAGGCAAATTGACAGCCAATGGTGGGTGCATTTGAATCGTGGTGCTGCAAAAGAATATCGAAAACACCAGGTACTACTCAAAGGACAAACGGACTGGTACTGGAAGAAGGACTACCAGAATGCTCCTTAGACTCAAGGATGGCGAGATCAGTCCCCAGAAAAGGACATCATGTTTGGTAAAGTGGAAAGACAGCGAAAAAGAGACTCAATCGGCTTCAGCATAGGAACAATTGCAAGGATGCACAGGGCCGGGCATGTTTCCTTCAGTTGTGCATAGGGTCGCTATGGGTCTGAGCTGATGCCATGGCAACTAAGAACCAAAACATTAATGGGAATACAAGCTTCAGAATCCGAGGAAACACAGGTTTTGATTCTTGTTACATTCAGACACGCTTCAGTTCCTAATCTGTCAAGTGGGGCAATAACGACTTCATCAGTATATCAGGAGAATAAAATGGGAAGTGCCTAGAGGGTCCAAGGTCGTTGCTTTAGCCCCCTCACACACAGACACAGATCTAGAAAGTTCGGTCCTTATCCCCACTTATTCCAGGTCCCACTGTGGGTCTGGACTTGAAATTTTCAGACTGAGCATGAACTAGAATCAGGAAGCTGAGCAACAGGAGCTTCTGACCTTCTATCAACTTCACTCTCCAGCAAAGCTCAGCAGCTCTCTCTGCAGAGGAAAGTGTCCCAGCAATCAGACATCACTCTGATGGCTTCTTCTGGGGTCATTGAGCTTTAAGGCTTTCCGCCAACGCAGAACACTCAGTCCACTCAGGGCTGCTGTGTAATGAATGGAGCGGGAGTAGGAGAACAGAAACAGGCTTTTCATCCTTCTGGGAGTGGAGTCTACACACAGGCAGAAACCAGTAACCAGTAAGGTTCTCCGTAATAGGTTAGTGTCTTGTTCTTTCTCTATACCGAATCAGGTACATCTTCAATACCACCGAAGGAGAAAGATGAGACTTTCCATTCCCAAGAAGAGTGACAATCTTGGAAACCCACAAGGTCAGTTCTATTCTGTCCCACAGAGCTGCTGGGTCAGAATCGGATTGGCAGTGAGTTTGGTTTTGGTCTTAATACCTTTCTGACCAAGGAGCAGACACAGGGAAGAAGAAATAAAGATAATTGACAATATTGGGTTGAAATAAAAGATTGAGATAGTCAAACCAGATGTAAGAAGGAAAGCAATTCCTCTTGATTTCAGAATACTAAAGTGTTTCATATCCATGAAGAATATCTTCCAATAGCTATTGGAAGAAACGAATCTATCTATCTACCTATCTATCATCTATCTATCTAATTTGCAGATACATGCACCTTGTAAATTGGCATGTGCAGAACTCCTTCCTCTATGGAGGTGTTTTCATAAGTGCCGTTATGGTAACTTTGTTTTACATTTTGCTGGGGGAAAAAAAGAAAAATCTCTTGATGGAAGGAAGCTGTTGGTAAACAAACGTAGAAGTTGTGTGTTAATTGCACCAAACACAGGTACTTTGACTTTCAGTAGCCTCGTTGCACAGTGGTTAATCCTTTGGAAGATTGGTGGTTCGAACGCAGCTGCTCTGAGGGAGAATGATGGGGCCATCTACTTCCATAAATATTTACAACTTTGAAAACCTTATGGAAAAGTTCCGATTTGGAATACAGAGTTACTAAAAGTCAGAATAGGTTCTAACTCAAGAGGTTCTTTAACCCTAGAGAAGCTGGTTAAGCATTCTCAGCTGCTGTCTTGGGCTAGCATCAGCCTACAATTAACCTGTCCTTTCTCTCCTGATAATCTTTATTATGATTTTTTTAGCCATTTTTCCCCTGGGAAATTATCCCGCCTCAACAAGTATCAGTTATGACCATATCTGATCTGCCTAACATGCACAGAAAGAACAATCACAACCCACCGTTGACCCCAGAACAAGAAGAATTTGATCAAGAAACAAAACACTTCTAGAATAAAGTCACCAGGCCAACTTGAACTATATTTAGGAGTCCAACAGGCCATTTCCTGATCAAGAAACATGACCCTGCCCCAATGCATATTCACGGGCTTTTCTCAAAATCCGTTACATATTAATAATCCTTTTAATTTACTTCCTGGTGTACATACACACATTTACTAATTTACTTTTTTTCAAGGGATTGCCTTGGTGACTGGTTTACTCCTTGTTTAGTCAATTGAAGTAAAATGTTCATCTTTCATT